GAAAAATTAGTTCAAAAATTTTAATTTTTTGTTTATACTTATAAGGGCATCAAAATTTTCGATGTTCACGATTATTTCTGATATTTTATACATTTTCAAACAATTCTGGAGATGTGAAAATAATGTGCCTATTATTTTTTATTATTTTTTTTTATTATCAAAAGTTGAAGGTTCTAGATATCTGTCCATATATCACACACATACAAGTGGTCAAGTAGTCTTACATATCAAAACAATTATGTATACCTTTCATATTACAAAAGATATTAAACTTTTATTTTAAGAGGTCAAAATTGAAAATCAGACAATTGGATCTAAGAACAATACTATTGTCTGTGTTGCTTTAAAAAAAATGCTTAAATGCTTATTTTATTCAATTCCATGATCTGGTTTTTCATAACTAAACAATCACTCATATTACAATCGAACTAGTTAATAACAAGAACGCAGTGGCTGAAATAATTCACTCGTTTAATCTGAGTCGGCCGAAATTATTAAAACTAATGTACAGAACTTAACTAAAAAAATAGCGGCAATTGTTCCACATATACAACACACGAAATACATTACCACTAACAACCATTTATTCCACAAAAAAAGCTGTGAATATTGTACTTCCCCCATCCATTGTCAGAATCAACATTTGGTCAGAAGCATGCAGACAGCCACATGAAGTCTATTTGTTGGTTTGCATAGTACAAATTTCTATTAATTGTTGCAGTTATTCATTCCAAGACATATGAAGAACTACACATTGTTTATCTCGAACAAATTAAACAAATAGAACAAATCTTCGAACAAATTAAATTGATGGAGTGAGTTAATTCAAACGGAAAAAAACTTTCTGCCAAATGAAAGATTTTCTCAATCAGACTGAACTTCTTTATGGTTATTGCAATAAATCTTTAATTACGCTATTTACAATAAGCCATCATTCATTTCTAACTGTCTGAAGTAAATCAAACTAATGATATCTATTCTACTTAGCTTAAAGCCCAGTACAAAAGTATAAGTCTAAAAATTGTTAAACTAATTAAAAAATACTGGGTACTTTACCAATTAGCTAGGCGTGTTTCAAAATGGCAGGAACTTTTTGTGAAGAGCCAGATTTTTCAATTAACTTAAAACTTATTAAAAAAAAGGCGGATACTTTGGATGATTGCATCACGAGAAATTATCAATTTAAGATTTCCAAGAAATGGCCTAAATTAATAAATTCGTACGAATATAAATTTGATTCTTTTCAAATGATAACATGGAATGGAATTTTTTTTAAACTAGTACAAAAAAATAAATTCCGTAACAGAAAAATAAGAAAACATGTTTTATTGCTGATTAGATTAATGTATAAATGAATCGTTATATTCTTGAATCATTAAGACACATGCTATTAATAAAAAATTATTATTATATAGTTAAATAATGATATTTTTTAACAAAAAAACCTGTTAACTTTAACTTAGCATAACAAAGCAAAAATTTGAACTACTGTTGAGCACTAAATAAAAACAATGTACTTAAAAGACACTTTTGTAATTTTTTGGATTAAGCTGATTTTAAAATAAATTGCATTGAAGATTGTAGCTTAAATAAACCTAAATAATTTTAAATTTATTTTGTTCGGAAAGGTACAGACTCTTTTTAAAAAATGGTATTTTTTAGTTTAGTTTTTGTTTGAATGTTTATGCAGAACGTATTGATTTAAATACATGCATTTGTCTGCTCCTTTGAAAATAATACTTAAGACAGAAAAAAAACTTCTAATCTTAACGTATCGAAACTCAAATGTATCGTCGCTTTCTGCCTACCATGCTTTATGTAATAGATAAATGAGGAATGAACTTTAAAAAATCCTTTTTAGGATTAAGTTGTATAAAATGCAGAAAGAAACCAACTATAGATTTGAAATTAGAAAATAAGATACCTTCAAAATTCTAATACAACAGAATTCCCCAGTGAAAATAATTCCTATCAAATAAACTAGACGAATTTTTCACCTTAAAATTAAACTGGAATCTTATGTTTTCATCTTTTTTTCTTTTAATTATTATTAATATTTTAAATGTCTCCAAAAAAGGATAAAAATGTTAGGCGTTAAAACAACTAATTATAAGAAAAATAGAAAAATCAAATTCTGGTCGCGATTCATAACATTATATAACATAATAAAAAAGAAGTATCTTCCTTATCCAAAACCGCGTGACCAAGCAGTTGACCTTGGGAAGACCCCATACGAGTCATCTATAGTAATAGAGTTCATGAATGTCCGTTTATATAAGGATAAAAAAAAATAAAAAAAAAAACACCGCACGATTTTATTTCACCACAATTAAAAACTACGATTTTTTGAACTTTTAAATTTTAAAACTTAAATTCATTTTTTTTCTTTTGAAAATAGCAAAAGTATTCTTATTTATTAATTTTTCTTTAAAGAAAAACTCAACCCCCCACAACATATTTCATTATAATTACATCTTTGTAACTAAAAAAATTCCGACAATTAGTCAGTTTTTAATACTAAAAATTATTTCATCTGAAGATTTTTTTTAAAAACTTGCGCCAATTTTAAAAAGCAAAAGCAAAATAATAAATGCTTATTTATAATAAAAATAATAAACACGTAAGTAAAAAAAATATGGCATCAGTAATCAAGTAACAAAAGCAAAATTTTGAAAATTAAATAAGTCAGTCATTAAATGTCTTGTTTATATTAAAAATCCCAATTAACATCAAATAATAAAAATGCATTTAACTCATTTATTCCATTATTTAATTATAGTTCTTTTGAAAATCTTTATATTGTTCAAGTTTATAATTAAAAAAGATATCAGATATATTTATGTATTTCTGACAATTAGGTTTCTTATGTTAATTCATTTAATAGAACTTAATTAATTTGTCTAAGTCCAAAATTTTTTGATCAACTGTAAATTAAAGTAATTTCCAACAAGTGAGTCAAAAATCACAAATGGGGGGTTTAAGGCAATTAGGAGGGACATAAAGTTGAGGGTATTTTGGTAAATGACGAACCCTGTTTTATAGGTATAAATATTTTTCTATTATTATTTTCCTTGCTTTGGCAACTCGCCACTGAAAATCACGCGCCATAAATTTCGATCGAGAAAAAATAACTATAGCCTCTAAGTTAGAATTTCTCATGATATTACTTTTTGAAATAAAGAGGTTTACTAATAGCGATAAATGATCTAAATAGAGACTATAATTAAAAACATTTATTTATTATATATATATAAATGTTGTATAATGGTTTTATATAATAATATGTATGTATATTGGCTTTAATGAGCTTGGCTATGGCTACATGTTTGAGTCATTTACGATTCTATGACTTGAGTTTTTCACATGCCACTGGTCAGTTGCAACCAAAATTTAATAAAATTCTGTTAATATTAAAAATAAGATTATAAAAGCATTAATAAATTGTTTAGTAGCATATTCTAATTTTGAAAAAACATCTGAAATATCTATCATAATTTAAGAGTCTCTTAAACTATTAACAACAAATAGAATTTATGTTTCTAGATATACTAATAAAATACCGTTTGTATACATACAGATAAAATTGCAGAATTATTAGCAATTTTTTTTTAAATAATACAAAGTCAGATTCATTAGCTGTTCAATCAGCTTTACAACTGGGAGGTATATTGATACATCGTGAATATATCTATTTAACATTAAGTAAGAGATCAAAAATATGGTAGCTTTTGCTATTCCCTATGCATTAGAACTCTGGAGAAACTCTCCATGGCTAATTCGGTTTCACCGATATTGCTAATTTGAAATTTAGAGAAAAGTGAGTTGAAGCAAACCATAACGTTTAAAATGCTGAAAATATTTTTTTTTCTTTTTAAATTTCAAAAAAGAAAAAAAAA